TGACGATCGTTGAATCGCATCAGCGTTTACACATAAAAAAAATCCCCCTGTAGTAGCAGTATAGGTATATAAATCTGGCTCCAGTGGGGTTGCGGCAGAATCACCATTACCTATACTACTTTCTGTGACGTTCCTTGTAAGAGCTGAACACTTAATATTGGAAAAAGGCTCAGGGTAGATGAAATGGAAATTTGCAATAACATATTGTGTGATGCATAAATTGGGAGCTTATTGCAATTGCAAATATTGTCTTTCTTTTTTGACAATAAATAACAACAAATTCAATCAAATGAGTCACAGCACGACTGTGTGTGCTCATATTTCAACGCCATCATCACTGTTCGTGTGATGATTAACCGATCATTATTGACTTATCAACACTGACTATTGGGCAATCTTTTTGTTCCAAAGGGAAATAACTCTCCTTTTGAAATGATATAAGCGACGGTCCAAACTGTCACTTCCGGTCTGGTTCCCGGATCAATGCGCGCTGCGACAACTACACTCTCCAACCCAGAGTTCCATGCGGCCGGTGTCATTTATACCGGTACATTTCCGCCCCTCTCGAAATAAATTCTCCCCCACCCTACGAAATAAAATCTCCCCCCCAGAATATTTCCTCCCCCGGTCGTTTTATAAATACTTGCCATGCAGTTCAATAGTTGCCAAACACTTCTGATAGAGACGATGTTGAGAATGTGGAGTGAAATGGGCTTCACTTTGAGCACTGTGTTTTCTTTACTACCGCAATATGAGACAATAAAGTGGTATATAGGTGGATATAATATTAGTCGTTAGATATAAAGAATGTTTAGTAACTTAAGAAGTTCTAGGACAGTTATTAACACATGTCGTGTCAGCCCTATTACATTCGCGATTGTCCACTTCCAGAAAACATCCTGTGTTGGTTTAACATGAATTAGTAAATGTTAATTAGGGATGCCCATAACGTTAATTAATGAAAGACGAGTAGTCAAAATACTGTCATTTCCTGCCCAGGACATCACACCCCTACACGCTAAGGTCGGTGAGAAACATTCTCATAAAAAACACACACACACAGTCAAGACTGTAGATTCCCGTCGTCTAGCTACAAATCCCTGTGATGTATTAAAGGTTGAAGAATTTTGAACTGAACTGTCCGAAAGTTTATATCTAAAATGTTGGAATTGGATACAGTGATAAAGTCTTATATCAATATGTAGACTCATAAATATTGGTTTTATGTTTTAACGGAGATATGATATTTTCTTATGAAATATCGCGTATTAGAGTAATTTGCATGCTTTACCATTCATTGTACCATTCTAAACCATGTGAATGTTGTATGTCAGTCAATCGGGTGAGAAAACAGCCCAATCCTCGCTCTATAAAGGACCATGTCAATCATTTTGCAAGTTGAAATGACCCCTGATACTTTATGAATACTTTATAACAGTTTATTCATAAACTTAATGCTTCGTACTATAGGCCTGTGGCCTCTTCAGTGCCGAATAAAGATTGAAAATACATCAGTCAATCAAAGATGAAGGTAACTTTATACATCAGAGTTCTTTAGAATTAGTTCATGTTTTGTTCTTAGACTAACATTTCAACCATCGATTGTGTTCACATGTAGACTCAAACTGGTATATTAAAAAAATGTATACAGACAACAACAACTGTATTAGAAACAACAAGTTATGTAGAGACTCATGTCTCCCATCCTTTGTTTGGTATGATTATGTCTTATAATTATTTTAGGATGGAAGGTACAGTTACCAAATAAAATATTCTGAAATATCAATTCATTATGACCATATTTCATAATCTATTTTTTAAAGTAACCCTCCTTACATTAAAGATAATTATTTAAAGAATATAGTACTTAAAGACATTGCAACAAACCGAATAATCAGGGGGGAGACTTTATACTGAGGGGGGCGCGAAATATATCCGCCCGGGGGAGATTTTATTTCAGAACAGATTCGCCGGGGGAGAATCTGTACCGTGTAAAATCTCCGGGGGGAGAATTTGTACGGGGGAGAGTTTATACCGGGACACCGGCTACACTGCGGTGTCAAGCTGATTAATGACCACAAGCTCTTCTGTAGCAGATGACAGGTGTGTGTGTGTGTGTGTGTGTGTGTGTGTGTGTGCGTGTGTGTGTGTGTGTGTGCGTGCGTGCGTGCGTGCGTGCGTGCGTGCGACAATTATGTTTCTAAACTAAGATTAAGTAACCATAAATTAAAGCCGATTAATGACCACAAGCTCTTCTGCGGCAGATGACAGGTGTGTGTGTGTGTGTGTCCAGAAAATATTCTCATTCTAAAATATTGATGTAAGTTTAACTACTTTCGAAACATTTATGTTTCTAAACTAAGATTAAGTAACCATAAATTAAATATTGAACTTGGAAGACATACAAAGCCACCAACCCCACTATATCAGAGGCTATGCTCTACATGTTCAACCGTTGCAGATGAAAAACACTACCTACTTCACTGTACCCAACACGCTCAAAAAGACATATATACTCTTTGGAAAATTATCCACATAAAATGTAAATGTACATGTCCAAAGCCATGAAAACAAATTATTTCACTACATCCTGTCAAAAAATGAAGCCATCAATATCAATTGCATTTGTTTCCATGTCTATCATTTTAAACAACAATAAATACCCCTTCATCCTAATCAACCGTTGAGTGAGTGAATGAGGATGGTTTTACGCCGCTTTTAGCAATATTCCAGCAATATCACGGAGGGGGACACCAGAAATGGGCTTCACACATTGTACCCATGTCGGGAAACGAACCCGGGTCTTCAGCGTGACGAACGGCCCAACCGTTGACATTTTATGTATAATATTATCATCAAATATGTAATATTGATCGGTTTTTGTGTCTTCAAGAATGTATGTATGTCTGTATATATGTATAAATGAATCATAATGTTTCGTCTTTACAAAATTGCATCTGTCCCGTAATGGAATGTTTCTGCAATAAATATTATCTTATCTATCTTATCTTATCTATGTTCTGCAGATTAAAAAGATATCGGTCCACTTGTGACTGAACCATTTGGATTTTCGTTCATTGGGAGTAACACAATTGCCTTTCAAATGCTTTCAAAGCAGGAAGCACACATTACAAAGAATAACTCATTTACCATGAAACGTTTTTCACGTCAATTTTGTACGAAAATATCAAAAGTACCAAAGTAGACATTGATGGATTATAAAAACAAAAGTTCTTAATTAACGAATCAGGTAGGTTGTTTTTTGTGTTTTGGGGTCTTTTTTAGTAGAAACAATAAACTGGATTCAACATTTGACATACAGTAAAGTACGGTTATATCGAACTCAAAGGGACTACTAATTTTAGTTCGTTATAACCGAAGTTCGTTATAAGCATATATACAGCATAACTACAGCAAATAGTCGGGACCAAAAAGTAAGTTCGTTATATCCGTCAGTTCGTTATAAGCGTGTTCGTTATAACCGTAGTTTACTGTAATAAGAAATATCCTACAACCGTATTCATACCCCTGCAGGTGCTATGGACATCATGTTTCTGCCCAGTGCTACTATTGATGCTCGTGGTCTTCTGGTGATATTTATGTGAAGGCGAGAAGTTCAGTTAAAACGAATTATATAGGAACATTTTTATCTTGGTTTTCCTCACATGTAAATACCATGATGCTACTAAATTACTAGTCTGCCTCACAGAACCTGAACCTTATTTTTCTTCTGCCTAGCCCTAACTGTAACGATACAGCCCTAAAAATGAAGCAAGTCTACAATTTTCCAAAGCTGAATCTCTCATCTCAGTTTGGATCTCTTTCAATTTATTGGAGTTATGGTTTCTAACAAAATTAATGTTGTTGTTTTTTTAGACTAATAGACACTGGCCTACACCATCAGTGCCATAATGTAAACAACTCGGACCAGCTCGCCCCTGCCTGCCTGTTTTATTGGGGGAACAACTGATAAGATCATGGTTCATGAGTATCAGGTTCAGTGAGAAAAAATGAAGTGGGGGATTGCTGGCCGGGAGAGGTCTGGCTTGTGCCACAAAGTGTGCTGTGAGTAACTTACTGAACCCTGCCTTGGAGTGTAGTATAACCTCCCCTACACGGGGGGGGGGGGGGGGGGGGGGACTTTCTGCTCTATTTGTAAATTGTGGTTTTCCCTGGATTATGGCTGTTATTCTGAGGTCAGTTAAATGTTGACTGTGTATGTGTCTCTAGGGCTCTAGGTAGGTGTGCGTGTCTTGTGGTGTTTGGGCACGAAGGTACTGGCTCAAATTAACAACATTTACTGGTTGGAGTGAAGATTGTCGCGAATTAGTGGGCCTGTCCACCTGTTCACTCCGTAAGTGGATTGCATGTTTTCTTTTGACTCAAACAGAGGGGACCCGGCAGCGTAAGCTGTGTTCTAAATAACTTTAGCAAGTGTAGAATATCGTCTAGTAATCACAAATGTTTTTACATTCTGAGATGCATTTCCAAGAACAAGATCCCCGATAAAATCATCCTTGTTTCGACCAATTATAGCCGTTGGATGTCTGACCACTTGTAAGAAGTAAGTAAATGACTCAAACGTTTGTTGTTTCATGTCAATAAGGTCATTGGCACTATTTAGCGTAATGATTGAGTTCGGGGAATTTCATTGGGAAATGTTTTCTTCAAGTTTTGCTAGGAGCAATCATCTCTCAATTACCTCGCCAAGCCGTGCGAGGCCGGTGATGATCCCATTCACTGAGGGCCTGGAATGTGTACTGGCACCATGAGACTGGTATGCTACCGGAGTGCTTATTATTGGTGCTGGGCTCACTAGGTCAGATGGAACGACCTTACTACTTGTGAGTGGAAATGAAAGTTAAGCCGACCCGCGTCGACACTGTTGATCGACTGTTGTACCGTTATTGTTTGAGTCTCGTGTTAGTGGCATGATTATGTTCAAGGATCTCGTTCTTTTACAATATGCATTCAATGCAATGCATCAAAATATTGCTTACCTAACCAGGCCCGGTCCAATGAAACTTGGCACCACACAAAATGTCAAAATGTCACAATTGTTAGTTCTGTCCATCACTTCCTGGCACGTCACTCCACCACTGGGTCCAGGTGTGACCGTCCACTCGTCACTCCTACCGCCCCACCATAGTAAGCCCGGAGTGGTCCGTAGATGTGCAACCGTCTCCACCGTTTTGGATGTGCAAACGTCTGCACCGTTCCGGATGTGCAAACGTCTGCACCGTTCCTCCCAACGACTGTAATCTCCCTCACAGTGGACGTTCTCGTGCAACCGGTGCACAGCCAACTCTCAATGGTTTGCTCTGGTGTATTCACCGCGTCGGTGTTGTCAACGTACCACCTAGGGGAGATTTTGTGCAACCGCTGCACACTGCTGCCTCACCCGCGCTACCTCTGCGCGTTGTTACCAAACTGGTGCAACCGCTGCACACAGTCACTTCACTCGTGCAACCACCGCACCTTGTTATACCTTACTTGGTCGACCGCTGCACAGCGTCACTTCACTTGTGCAACCTCTGCACGTCACTTCACTTGTGCAACCTCTGCACGTCACTTCACTTGTGCAACCGCTGCACGCCGTCACCTGACAATGCTTTTTGGCAGTCGTCAGAGAAGATCGTACCCCGCATCAGTCCAAGGTAATTCTATGATGTTATCGAGGGTAACTGTTGCGTAATCGGAAGGTAGCAATTCGTGTACCTCTTCGCCTGAACTACGGCAATCCCCTCGTTCTTGGTGCTGACAGTCCGGGACGAGCGAGAAGTACAATGTCAGTACTCGAGGTCCTTGGACCTATTACCGTAGTTACTCCAACAAGCACAAAGAGTGATCTTCGTTAAACAGCTTTTATTCCAACTTTGTGTTGCGAGTCAACCCACTCTATTTGTCACTTAAATACGAGACTTCGGCCGCAAAGCTTCAGTCTCAGTCGAAATGCTGGTGCCTAAGTTTGGTTTCTGGTTCGAAAGATCGTGACAACAAGCCGAGAGCGGAGCACCAGTCCAGATGTAGTCTCCCAGGCCGCTCTCTCGATTTGGGGGCTTTTGACGCTTTTTAAACCGGTACCTACGTCACAGCTCTACTCATGTTTCCATCTATCATTGGTCAACCACCTTCCCCCCAACACTAGATCATTCTAACCTACTCTTGTTTCATAACAAGATCCTTATTAGTACTTTTTGTAATGTGAACCCCTCAATTCCCGGAATCTGAATTATTCCCCCCACACCCACACCCACACCCACACCCACCAACCCAACAACCCCCCATGGATATGCATGGCTCGATTATATAATGTCTGCAGTAGCTCTATGCATAACTAAATATGCATAGCGAATTTAATGCGTGTGACGATCTTGTTTGGTTTAATAAAGTGTGTGTAAATGTATCTAGCTTTCATGAGAATCCTTTAGTTCTGCTTTGTCGTTGAGAAAGCGAATAACGTCTCGCGTCCTTTTTTATGTATGAAAAAAAGAACTTCTGGTGTGACAGAGGTCACGATTATCCAGTCAATACGAATAAAACGAGGTCAACCTTGTACGACACACATGTGACGTACGAATTTAGTATCTAGCCTACTGTATCTTCACCACTTGGGTAATAATCCGCTTTATTACCCACGTGGTTAAGATACAGGTGACGCATCCGACCACTTTCGCAATTTTCAATTTGATTTAACGTAAATGGATAAGCGTTGGGAAATGAAGTCCCCATCGACGCGTATTTTGTGGCACTGTTTCGGGAGTGGTTGTTTGTTCACGACTGCACGACCAAATCACTCAAAGTGAACATTTCCGATACAAATCATTCGAAAACGCAGTAGAAGTGTGCCTGAGTATGTGGCCTAAAATAGCCCAAATGTGAACAATAACATTCCCAATCTTTAGCGTAAAACGCTGTGAGAAGATCACGGTTGTCGTTTCTCATTCCGGTGGTGACCTTGCCCTTCGTTCGAAGCTGTCACTGACATGCAAGCAGACTTGAGTTTGTTGATTTTCAGTTAACACGAATGTCTTTGTCGAACACTCTGATTCCCTCTTCCAAAGTGGCATGGACATGATATAAATTCAGCTGATAGATCAAGGAAACCGAACCATTTTGATTGCACAGCCGGGACACCGGCAGTGCGAGTGACCGACTGTTGGTACGATATTCAAAGCGCGGCGCTAATGTGACTTTTAAATTTTTCTTATAGGTGTCCTGCGTACAAACAACATCCCAGATGGCGCTTGAATTACCATAAGTTGAAGAAATTCTTCCAAAAGGATCTTGAGCGTCGGTGCTGTTATGTTTGCAAACACAACTGAAGGCGCATGTTGTTAATGTGTATGCATAGAAATGTCAACAATGCCCATATTTAGGCATGTATCAATATTCATGCGCAACCAGATTTTGCAACCAGTTTCAGTTTGGTCTGTCAACGAACAAAAGTTGTCATGTATTTACACTTGAATATATATTTAACGTGGGCAATAAATAAAATACCACACTCATTCTCGTTAGATACCATTTTTACGAAACGAGTGGACTTTCTATGGTATCTGATCGAGCGAAAGCGAGGTCAGATACCATAGAAAGTCCACTCGTAAAAATCGTATCCAACGAGAATGAGTGTGGTATTCTCTATTTATTACCAACGTGGTGAAGATACTAAATCCGTACGTCACACGTGTGTCGTACAAGGTTGACCTCGTTTTATTCGTTTTGATTGGATAACCGTGACCTCTGTCACAGCGGAACTACTTTTTTCATTCATAAAAAACCGCGCGCCGTTATTAAAACAAACAAGATGGGCACGAGCATCAAATTCGGTTTGCATTCTGTATTAGTTATGCATAGAGCTGCTACATACATTAGATAATCGAGCTAGATATCCATTTACAATGACCGACTACCGATCAATAGATCGAGGGTCCCCATGAGCGTGACGCACTCGACCACTTTCGCGACTTTCAATTTGATTTAATGTAAAAGGATAAGCGTGGTGAAATGAAGTCAATTTAAACTATCTGGACAGATATCTAGACTTACTTGGGATAACCCGTTGTGCCATCCGTGTCCCCTTCGAAGCGTATTTTGTGGCACTGTTTCGATCGAGAGTTGTTTGTTCACGATTGCACGACCAGATCACTCAAATTGAACCCCGGCAGTGCGAGTGACCCACTGTTGGTCCGATATTCAAACCGCGGCGCTACTGTGACTTTTCAAATTTTCTTATAGGTGTCCTACGTACTGACAACATGGCGCTTGATTTACCATAAGTTGAAAAAATTCTCCAAAAAGGATTTTGAGCGTCGGTGCTGTTTTGTTTCCAAACACAACTGCAGGCGTATATGATGTTAATGTGTATGCATAGAAATGCCAACAATGCCCATATTTGGGCATATATAAATATTCATGTGCAACCAGATTTGACAATCAGTTTCAGTTTGGTCCTTCAACGAACGAAAGATGTTATGTATTTACACTTAAAATATATTTAACGTGGGTAATAAATAAAATACCACACTCATTCTCGTTAGATACCATAGAAATTTCACGAGTTTCGTTAAAATAGTATCTAACAAGAATGAGTAGTATTCTCTATGAATGTCACATCCAACGAACATTCAACCGATGTAGGGTGATTATTCTATTTAGTTCGAAGGTGTGGATGAATGTTCGCGGTTAGATGGGTTTTGGGATAAATGTTCGTGGTTAGGAGGGTAAATGTGGATGAATATTCGTGGTTAAATGGATGTATATTCGTGGATGGATTGATAATGTGGATGAATATTCGTGGATAGAATTGGAAAATGTGGATGAATATTCGTGGTTAAATGGATGAATATTCGTGGTTAAATGGATGAAAATTCGTGGATAGATTAAAAATGTGGGTGAATATTCTTGGATAGAATGGGAAAATGTGGATGAATATTTGTGGTTAAATGGAGGAATATTCGTGGATAGATTGGAAATTATGGATGAATATTCGTGGATAGATTGAAAAAATGTGGATGAATATTCGTGGATAGATGGGAAAATGTAGATGAATATTCGTGGTTAGATAGATAAACGTGGATGAGTATTCGTGGTTAGGTGGGAAAATGTGGATGAATGTTCGTTGTAACGTCGGGGTTTGGTTATTAAATGGATGGATGGTTGTTGTTAAATGGAAATGTTTTGTTTCTAAGGGTGGATGTTCGTGGTTTCGGATGTTTGCGGTTGCGCCGCGAATATTTCGCTTTGGTGTATAAACGTCCCTGTGTATAGTTAAATGAACATGTTTGTAGTTGGTCGTGTGTGCAATGTCAGTTTCATAAGGCTTGCCAACTGAGATAAACATGGATATCCCACTCAGATACAGTATACCGACTCCGAGCCGACCATTCCTTGAATTCTTGTAAGATGGATGACTTTTACAGTTGGATAGATCAATATTCTGAAAAGGTGGGAGAATGTTTGCAGTTGGATGGATCAGTATTAAGATGGATGATTATTGCAGTTGGATGGATCAGTATTAAGATGGATGATTATTGCAGTTGGATGGATCAGTATTAAGAGGGATGATTATTGCAGTTGGATGGATCAGTATTAAGATGGATGATTATTGCAGTTGGATGGATCAGTTTTAAGATGGATGATTATTGCAGTTAGATGGATCAGTATGAAGATGGATCATTAGTGCAGTTGGATGGATCAGTATTAAGATGGATGATTATTGCAGTTGGATGGATCAGTATTAAGATGGATGATTATTGCAGTTGGATGGATCAGTATTAAGATGGATGATTATTGCAGTTAGATGGATCAGTATTAAGATGGATGATTATTGCAGTTGGATGGATCAGTATTAATATTGATGATTATTGCAGTTGGATGGATCAGTATTAAGATGGATGATTATTGCAGTTGGATGGATCAGTTTTAAGATGGATGATTATTGCAGTTGGATGGATCAGTATTAAGATGGATGATTATGGCAGTTGGATGGATCATTATTAATGTTGATGATTATTGCAGTTGGATGGATCAGTTTTAAGATGGATGATTATTGCAGTTGGATGGATCAGTATTAATATTGATGATTATTGCAGTTGGATGGATCAGTATTAAGATGGATGATTATTGCAGTTGGATGGATCAGTATTAATATTGATGATTATTGCAGTTGGATGGATCAGTATTAAGATGGATGATTATTGCAGTTGGATGGATCAGTTTTAAGATGGATGATTATTGCAGTTGGATGGATCAGTTTTAAGATGGATGATTAGTGCAGTTGGATGGATCAGTATTAAGATGGATGATTATTGCAGTTGGATGGATCAGTATTAATATTGATGATTATTGCAGTTGGATGGATCAGTATTAAGATGGATGATTATTGCAGTTGGATGGATCAGTTTTAAGATGGATGATTATTGCAGTTAGATGGATC